GCACGCCTCTGAAAGAGCCGTGGAGGTCTTTCTGAGAGACATACCCCTCCCACAGCTCACGGCGGAAGCCAGAGATGCACTGGAAGCGCCCATCACGGTAGAAGAGGTGGCTGATACAATTAAGACTCTGCGCCCCAATAAATGCCCAGGCCCGGATGGGTTCTCGGGATTATACTATAAAACATTTTCGGGGGCCCTTTTCCCGCACCTTAGGGACCTGTTCACCTCCATAATTAAGGGGGAGGCGATACCTCCAGACATGTTGCAGGCAAATATAAGCCTGATACCGAAGCCAGACAAATCCCATCAGGACCCTGGACATTACCGCCCCATTTCGCTCCTTAATGTGGACATTAAGTTACTCACTAAACTCCTTGCTAATAGGTTGCAACCTTACCTTCCGAAGCTGATTCACCCAGACCAAGTGGGTTTTATCCCACACAGACAAGCTAGTGACAACACCAGACGCACCTTTGACCTGCTGTGGGCAACCACACTGCTGATTTCCCTTGACGCCGAAAAGGCATTCGACCGCATTCTATGGCCATACTTATTTGCAACACTGGACAGACTTGGACTTCCCCACGGGTTCCTGACGACAATCCGCAACCTATATTCATGCCCGACTGCACGGATACTCCTGCCGAACACCCCATCGCCCTCCTTTCACATATACAATGGTACACGACAGGGATGTCCCCTCTCGCCCCTCCTCTTTGCCCTTTCCCTTGAGCCCCTTCTCCAAAAGATAAGACTTGATCCTGCCATTAAGGGGATAACAATTCGGAAGGAGGAGTATAAGATCGCGGCTTATGCCGATGACCTTTTACTGACACTGACTGACCCTGAAGCCTCGTTGCCCCCTCTGTTGCGTCTCTTAGACGACTACTCTTTGATCTCAGAAAATAAATTAAATCTGGACAAAACGGAGGCACTGGGACTTCATATCCCCCACGAGATGGACATGTCCCTTCGAGAACGGTATCCATTCTGTTTCCGTCTGGATTGCATCAAGTATTTGGGGGTGTACCTCCCCGCGGACTTAAGCTTGACGTACCAATTGAATTATCTCCCGCTGATAGCACAGACCAAGAAAGACCTGCTGGAATGGCAAAAACTGTCCATTTCCAGGTTGGGCAGGATAGCCTCAGTGAAAATGACCCTCCTTCCACGCTTTTTATATTTGTTTCAAACTCTACCTGTCCCAATCTCGAGACCGGATTTTAAAGCTTTGCAAACGCAGATAGATAAATTTATCTGGGGGGGGAGGAGGATCCGAATAAAGAGGGCCACTCTGTATATCCCGCATAAGAGGGGAGGGCTGGGCCTTCCAAATCTGTGGGACTACCACCAAGCTGCCCAATTGGCACAGATCCAAACCCTCCACGCGCCGGCTGGGGTCAAGTTATGGGTTGACTTAAAGCACGACCTTTTTGGGAAAGACCACCCTTCGTTATACTTGTGGGTGCCCAAACGGCACCGACCGGAAATGCCCTATACCACACCGGCCCTGCGGACATCCATACAGGTTTGGGACAGGGTCGTCCGTAAGCACAACCTTATAAATATGCCCTCCCCGCTCACGCCGGTACTAAGGAACACACAATTTCCCCCGGCATGACGCCCCGACACTTTGCCCACTTTGAAGACAACAATCTAATTACACTTTGTCATTTTTTTCAGGGCACTAGCCTTCTCCCATTTGCCGACCTGCCACAATCCACCCCCTTCAACTCGTTCGATCATTTCCGTTACCTACAGTTGAGAAGTTTCTTGTCCACCCCTGACATTATGGCGGCGGCAACGACACAACTCACACATTTTGAGAATGTGCCACCATACACCTGTACGGAAGGGCCAAATCTCCATTCTATACGATATTTTGGCCAGGGATTCCCCTCCGGAGGCTTGTGAGGGAGTGGGAGAGGGACCTGGGCCCCCCAGGCGACCCATCCGACTGGGCAGACATTTGGGAGGCCACAGCCTCCGTAACAATTTGTGTAAATCATAAGGAGCAGGCATACAAAACCCTGCTCCGATGGTATGTCACCCCCCTGCGGCTCAAACAGATGCGGCAATCGAACTCTGACCGCTGCTGGAAGGGCTGTGGGGCTCAAGGCATGTATCTCCACATGTGGTGGGAATGCATACATGTCGCCGGGCTTTGGAAGGAGATTATAGATATCACCTCCAGAGCACTGCAAATAACCCTCCCAACAGACCCGTGGACATGGCTTTTATCCAAACCCTTAGAGGCCCTACCCAGAGCGCAGAATAAATTAGTGGCAAAAATAGCGTTGGCGAACCGAAGGGCGATAGCAGCTCACTGGGGTCGGGCAGATATCCCGACAGTGCTAGAGGTACGGAGAAAGATAGAGGAATCCAGGGAGATGGATGAGTTGTCTGCCCTGGTTCACGAGACGACCAGCTCGGTCAGAAAAGTCTGGGGCCCCTGGGGTGCGGTGTAGTGTTGGCAGGCGCGGGGGGGACATCGGCCCTCCAGTCCTTCTCACAACCCCGATCAGCTCCTGATGGAGCCCCTCCCTTTAGCCCCTCACCCCCTACCCCTACCACCTCCACTAGACCTGTTAAAGGATTTCCACATCATGCGGAAGCCGAATTGGCTCTGCTATCCACACACGTCAAACTCATATACGCCATTGGAACACGAGCCTTCAGAGTCAAGACATAAGAGTGCCACAATTCGAAGAGCTAGTTAACCCACAAGTACTTATCAGTCCATAGTCCTTTCTGACACTAGGTATGGACTTAGTTACGCCTCACTTCCCACGTTTGCCCCAGTTGACTATCCCTTTTCCGGTTCAGAGTTGTAGTACACACGGCAAGCCGACCGCAACACAGACTTACCTGCTCCTGACATAAGACAAATAAAGCCAAGCATATATACCAGAGCATACTTATACACTGGCTCCTCCAGAGATTGAAACTGGGCGCACCCCAGACAGCCCATATGAAACGAGGGGGTCTTAAGTGAATCTAGGCACAGTCGGCCACTAATGAGGTTATGGGTAGATGAGTTGTACTATGATCTGCTGTTCCCTATACCCTTTTCTTTTTTCTGTACCCCATATACGTACTCAAAATTCTCTAAATAAAGAATTTATAAAAAAAAATCATACCCCACCTAACTAGTTCTAAATTACTATGTCCAAATAAACGTTCAACACCTTTGACTGCTCCTGCTGTTCCTAATTTTGATACATACTATTGGTTTAAAGGAACACTATAGTGTTTAGAATACAAGTATGCATTCCTGATGCTACAGTGCTCTAGTTACTACTTAGATTATTGGACCTTCCTGTGTGCATTTTAAGAAAAACATTTTATTTATCTTTATTCCACCTGTATGACTGACTCACTGAGGCTGCTACGCTGCCCCAGCTGAGATCATCTATCCTGATAATCTCAGCCAATCATTTACTTCCTCATAAGAAATTATGAGGCAGCTAGTGCACATGTGTAGCAAATCACAGCATTGCACCAAACCACATCGCCGCATAGAGATGAATTGAGTCAAATCATCTCTATAGGGAACGTTTAGTGTCTCTATGCAGAACGTGGAGATACTGAACGTCGTTCCTGCAATTTTTGACTTTATACTGCTGCCTAATGCACCTCTTAAAGGATTTGGTCCTGCAAAGTTTACTCTGTTCAGCCTATAGGAACAGGCTCTTTGTCCCAGAACGTAGCCACTGTACTAAGTAGTAGTTCTGGTGCCTTTAATTTACTAAATGTTCACCTGTCAAATACTGACAAGGGAATTGCAAATTATAAGTCTAAATTGTGAAAATACAGCTTGGCTAATTGGGGCTAAAACTAATTTCTCTTCCATTCATATTTTCTGATACTTTTGTCATTAATACATCTTGTGAGTTTTGAGCTTCTTAACCTGTTGAAAACTGAGATTGGGATTGGGTAAAAGCTTTCTCATTAAAACAATCGATAGTTACTCGCACACTCGGCTAGCGAACTAGGCCACACCACAAGGATATGGTATTAAGCATATGCTCCGACCAGGTCCCGAAGGACCCAAGCTAAATATTTACCCACCCAGACATGCCTTTTGCCAAAAGCACATATACTAAATCCCCATTAAAGCATATGGGCACTTACAGCGTAAAGTGAGCGCCTTCCAGCACCTTACCCCCCTAGCTGTGCCTTTTATTAATGCCAAGTGCAATCTCTCACTAATGAGCTTATGGGCACCCACCGCTATAAATATGCACCCCCCCGGCACATCACAGACCCACCAGAACGGGCGAGAGCGGGCTGAAAAGGCTACCAAACATTAGAAATTGGATAGTCCCCATAAACATGTTATGACCATAGGCGTGCGTAGCCTATTGTATAAGGGTGTGCACCCTAAAGCACAAACACACACGCCGCATATATATATATATATATATATATATATATATATACACACACATACACACACACACACACATACATACATACATACATATATACACACATACATACATACATACATACACACACTCACACACACATACACACTGCTATGTGTGTGAGGGTGCTGTGTGTGTGTGTGTGTGTGTAGGCGCTGTGTGTGTGAAGGCGCTGTGTGTGTGTGTGAAGGCGCTGTGTGTGTAAGGGCGCTGTGTGTGTAAGGGCGCTGTGTGTGCAGGCCCGGACTGGCCATTGGGCACACCGGGCAAATGCCCGGTGGGCCGCGGTGGCCATGGGCCGAGGCCGGCAGGGGAGGTCCCAGGACATCCCCTGCCGGGCTATGCAGGGCCGGCACTATCCGAGCGCCGGCCCCGCTGTCTTCCATGGAGGGCTGGTGGGGAGATCAAAGATCTCCCTCACGGGGTGGGGTCGGGCCGCCGACGGGATCAGACGCGTTCTGTCTGAGCTCCCGCTCCAGGGCCCAAAAGTCGGAGCAAATTGGAGGATAACCGCGACCGGAGGGTCCCACTGATGTCCACAAGGACCCCCAGTCACTGGGGAAAGCGGGGATGCCGCATGGGTCCCGGTCCGGCACCGACAGTAACCCGGCCGGGCTCGGAGTTCGTTGGGGCTTGAGCCGGGAAGGGACGGCCGCTCTCCTGGGTCTCCTGGCCGGCGGTTCGCGTCCGCCCCCCCCACCGGGACCGGGGGGGTCATCCCGGTCTGCAGAGGTACCAACCAGCACACAAACCTTGGCCCAATCAACCACCCTAGCAGGGAACATCACCCGGGCGTCAGTACACAAGATGGCCGCCGAGCGCCAGCCATGTGGGCGAGCTGCCAGAGAGGTCGAGATGATGCTTGCTCAAAAGTGAGGAAAACAACACAGTCAAAGAGAAAAGCACCCACTATTATCCTACCAGTCTACTACAGGGCAGTAAAGCTTATGGACACTGCAAGTAGGATCAAGTCGCACTCTCATGGAAGTGCCGGCAGCAGAACTCGCCTAGACAGCACTCACCACACAAGGAGACATGACAGAGTGAGGCGGGGAGGTTCACAGGTCCATGGACCGGAAAATCTTGGGCATCCACTAATGCTGAACGCCCTGCTGCAGCCCATCGGTGGTACTGTGTGATACCTGTATAAAGCGACTCCTGCTAACACACAGCAAGATCCTCTCCAGCAATGTAAAGACTCTTTTGTTATTCTCAATGTCAGCGTTACCCCCCTTCCACGATTACAGAACCCAGAGGTGTTAATAGCTCTGTGTCCCGATAACAACTCCTAGCTAGCAAACACCTTGACTAATTAGCTCTGTTGGCCAGACGTGTCCCCTAGCACTGTTTTGTCTACCCATGCTATTGTATGACAAGCATTTAACTCATTGTGTTCACTTAGTCACCTGTGTAACATGCTAGGAAAGCAAGCCCAGGTGTACACATATATACCTGCATATAAACAGACTTACACCTGAACATCACTTATGATACATACTAAGCATGGACAGCTCATATCTCACACTCACTGCGCCCACTAGCTAAACATGCCTAATTAACTTGTTCATTAACGTTGAAACTCTGCTCTTCATGCGTCATTACTAGCCTAGTCTCGAACTACTTAAGCTTGTGAAATGTACTTTGTCAGTCTATACCATATTCAAAATGTGCACTGTCCAATCACTCCCCACTGTATCTATTGTTGTTGAAATTAGCGAGTGGACTGCCGGTGGGGTACCACAAGCATAACTCTTCCAACTGTATGCACTACAAAAAAATAAATAAAAAAATGAAGATCTCCCTCACCGGCCCATTAAAATAGACCTGCGGCTGGGGAGGGAGAGGACCCAGCGGAGCTCTATCTTGCAGCTCCGCCGGGCTCCTCTCGCGAAATCGGGAGCGTTGCCATGGATGATGAACGAGTGCCGGTCCCCCCCTCCCAGATCTCCCCCCTTCCCAGGCTAAAGGTAAGAAGGGAGGGGGGATTTAATGCCTGCTTAGTTTTTTTTTAAAATTGTTTATTTACCCCACTTAGTTTTTTTATTTGTGTATTTAACCCCACTTAATTTTTTATTTGTTTATTTACCCCAACACACAACATTTATACACTGCACTCTCACACACACATCACACTCAGCACACAAAACACTCTCACACAGCACTCTCACACACATCACACACAGCACTCTCACACACATCACACGCAGCACTCACACACATCACACACGACACTCTCACACACATCACACTCAGCACTCACACACATCATACACAGCACCCACACACACAGCACCCTCACACAAATCAATCACATACAGCACCCTCACACACAGCATCCATCACACACACATACTGCACCCCTCACATACAACCCCCCGATACACTGCATCACACACATACACAATACTTCCAAACATATTTATATATATATAAAAAATATATATATATATATATATACATACACACACACACACACACACACACACACACACACACCACCCCTCACACACACACACACACACACACTGCACCCCAAAACACATTACATTCCAGACACACACTAGATCCTTTACCCAACTCTGGATCATCTACACACACACACCAGATCTCCTATACATAGTCTGGGTCCTTCAAACACACACAAGATTAAAATATATATATATATATATATATATATACACACACACACACACACACATATACACACACACACACTCTGGATCCCCTATACGCACACTAGATTCCTTGTAAGCAAACACATACTACATTCCCTGAACACACACTCTCTACAAACACTACATCACCTATACACACACACACACACACACACTATAGTCTGTATGCACACTTGCTACATCCCCTATACACACACATTCTCTACAGCCCCTAGCCACATATGCATTACATCACAAACACAACACGACTAAAACTGACCTTATTACACAATACCACACCACGACCAGCTCACTCTACACACACGCAATACCACAAGCAGGCTCCAAACTCATGCACAATACTCTTTCCTGGCCCTTTTGTCTCCTGGTATCCATTTATAGAGACACCAGAGACAAGTTGCAAGGAAACACAGTGCAAGCATGTTATTAAATTTGCTTGCACTGTGCAGAACAGTGCTAGAGTTCTTCAATAGAGCTCTGCGCATGGTCTGCCCTGGAAGAGCATTGAACCAACATGCTCACTTTGAGAGGGGGCGTGTTTGTCATTAGTGATGACAAAACACACCCTTTCTGCCCCGCCCCCCTTCTTAGTGGGCCGCTGTGATAAAAAAATGCCCTGGCCGAGTTTTTTTTCCCAGTCTGGCCGTGTGTGTGAGGGCGCTGTGTGTTTAAGGGCGCTGTGTGTTTAAGAGTGCTGTATGTGTGTGTAAGGGTGCTGTATGTGTGTGTAAGGGTGCTGTTAGTGTGTGTGTATATATGTAAGGGTGCTGTGTGTGTAAGGGTGCTGTGTGTAAGGGTGCTGTTAGTGTGTGCATGTGTAAGGGTGCTGTGTGTAAGGGTGCTGTGTGTGTAAGAGTAAGTTAGTGTGAGGGTGCTGTTAGTGTGTGTGGGTGAGGGTGCTGTGTGTGTAATGGTGCTGTTAGTGTGCTGTGTGTGTATGTGTGAGGGTGCTGTGTGTGTAAGGGTGTTGTTAGTGTGAGGGTGCTGTTAGTGTGTGTGTGGGTGCTGTGTGTGTAAGGGTGATGTATGTGTGTGTGCTGTTTGTGTGTAATGTGTGGGGTGGGGGGGCCATTTAGTTAATATCCCCCCTCCCTTCTTACCTTTTGTAGGGAGGGGGGACCATGGTGCTGCCATCCCTGGTGGTCCAGTGGTGAGTGAACTCTAGCCCGACAGGGGGCTAGAGTTCACTCTCGCAAGATCTGAGCGTTGCCGCGGTCACTGTGGCAATGCTCTGACCTCGCGAGAGGAACCCGGCGGAGCTGCTGGCAAGAGCTCCTCTGGTCCTCCCCTGCCTCCCTCCCTGCCTGTAGGTCGGTGAGGGAGATCTTTGATCCCTTTGTATCATAGCACGTGCAGCGGGGATTAGGCGGTGCCCAGGCACACCCGGCACACCCTGTGCGCACGCCTATGGTTATGACTGTTACTCAGACTGATGTTTATTTGTTCAATGTTATGCCAACATGTGATAATGTAACCAACATGCTTTATCCACAAAAATAAAGAATTAAAAAACAAACAAAAAAAACAATCCTCACAATTAATCTTACTTGGAAGGGTTAACACAGAATAAGAGTAGGACCTTCTGTAGTTGGAAAACATACTCATTTCAGCATTGTGTATAGATTTATGTTTGATCCCATGAGGCTGACTGTTTCTTTGCTATCTTTAATATAATATTATCTAGATCTGTTTAACCTCTCTTAGTCCTACCTTTATGTTCTCATCATTTTTTACAAGCAGTCTTCATAGAAAGGGAAAATAAAATAGTTATTTTACTGCTAACAATAAATGTCTTTGTTCTAATTTTGAGTGTGTTATGATTTAGAACTAGGGAGATATTAAACTTAAGTATCATCTCCAAACTGTCCTCACCTTCAGGTAGATATACATCTAGGCTAAATATTGTACTTGTGAAACTGTGTGGGCAGGTTATAAGTTTTCACTTTAGGGCCATTATGTGGCAATATGTGATACCTCACTGTTTACACCATAGTTGTAATACACAGAGGGAGCTATATTGCTAGGAATACAACTCTGTGTTCCTAGCACTATAGTATTGCTTTAAAACTATTATATATATATATATATGTATATATAGATATATATATATATATATATATATATATATGACACTCCCGGCATAAATGAGTGAAACCGCTGTTTAGTAGATCTTTCCCATTTAGAGACACAGGCACCTTTGCTGTAGACCGCCAAACTCCCGAACGGAATATAAGGGAATGCTCTAAACTCCCGAACAGAGAATCATACGAACTCCTCTCCTAGAACAGGCGAAAGAATACTCCAATGTAGCAATCCCCCAAACACGAGACCAAGCTCCGTCTTGAGGGTAAAACAGGAATCTAAAGTAATAAACCACACAAGTAATATTATGGCGCTGAATTGTAAAACAACAATAATTACTAATAAGCAGCACTATATATAGTGAAAAAAGCTCAATCACCCATACTAAGCAGGAATCTGCTTTAATGAGGGCTACCTCCCCGGTATTTATGCAGGTCTTCCTGGTGGACACTCCCCTAGGGGACCAGATGGAAGACTGGGACAAGTAGGATACATTAGCCAATCACAGTGGCTCAGACATAAACCCTCCCCTTTGTACAAGCAACCCCTCCTCTCTATCCTGGAGATAACCGGGAAGAAATCCAATTATCTCCATGGATAGAGGCAAAACGCCATTTTAAATAATACAGTAAAAATACATAAAATACCATAACTTCAAAACTACCGAATGCATTCCAGACATATAACGTATCCCCAGATAGCCTAGATCTGAGCGCACATTATTACCGAATGGCGCTCAGATCCAATACACCCAGTTCAATCGCCATGGAGCCAAAGTCTTTCACACTGTTCTTTCTGTATACGAAAGGGCTCAATGGGATGGCTATCTGGGTTAAGTCCATTTTTGAAATAAAAGTCCCGAACGGACCGGTGTTCGTATGCCGGATGACAAGGAATGGAGGTCGGTGGTTTTCAGCGGTGTTCATGAGAAAAAGTGTCCGGTTTGAGTTCCATAAGTTTGTTGACGAACACCGCTGTGTATTCGTGCATCTAAGATGGCTGCCGCCTCGTGGTCGGCATATGAACGACGACCACCCAGCATGCGGTTTCAACTAGGAGGTGTCTGCGGTTAACCACAATGTTAGAATTGGGGCCAATAGGTTAACCAGCAGCACACTC